CGCCTCCAACCCCCGATGCCAGGGAGTTTGCAGGACAGTGCGCTGGCCAGTGTGGACCCCTCCTTGCACCGCCCATCTCGTGCCAGTGTGGTGAAGGCCCTGCAGGTTGTGATGAATCAAGCCCCTGGTGCTGCGGGGTGGCAGGGCGAAGGTGCTGCCTGTGCCCACCAAGGTGCTCGCCCTGTGATCACTCCAATCTGGTGCACACCCGACCCCTCTCCTGGTTCGCCCAGCCCCTGGAGCTGCTGGTTGGGTGGGATCACGCCAGGCTGGAAAGGTCCGTCTCCTCCTCCAGGCTTGCAGCGGGCCAGGTGACAACACCCAACCCAGCAGGAAGAGCTCCTGCCCTTTAACAGCCGAGGGCCAAACCCTCAGCAACAGGATCAGCGCCTGCCCGTTGCAAGGGCTCAGGCATCACGGCAGGGGACTGGGGAGCTTCTGGCCCTTGTTTCGCTGAATCACAGAATGAACAGCTGCACGAGTGACATACCTTGCTGCTGGCAGGCTCAGTTCTGCACTGTCCTTGCCAAAACTGACAAGTTTAGGATTGAATGTGTGCATTTTTGGCTGTGGAATGATGTGTAATTGGTTCCTTTCACTGAACCCAGTATCTCTTTTCAGGTATACAGCCCTAGAAAGAGGCTGGACTTTGCAGGAGAGATGGGTTTCATAGATCATGGAGCATATTTCATTAGGAGAATAATGGTCTCCTTTTTTTTCCTGAGGAATCCTTTGCAAACACTGCATACTTTGTAATGAATATAACCCTTTCAGATGATTCAGAGACATGCTGTAAAATATCATACTTGGTTAAGAATCTTCTGTTTGTTTTTTTTTTTTTCCCCTGACCTAGACTTGCGTTCATGTCAAGTCTCCATGATACAATGCCATAATATTCAAATTTTTGGTAGCCAATTGCTTTTGATATTTATATCCATTTTTAAGGGAATCACAATGAATAAATGTGCCCAGCTCTAACTTTATGCAAAATAAGCTGTGTGTAAATCAGTAAATCATTAATAGAAATGAATAATTGCCAAAGGCTGAGGACTGGATAGCGTTTCAAACTTTTATCTGTTTATGTATTTCAGAAGTCACCAAAGGAGAAAACACAGTGTATGTGATAACTTAGGTCCCCATCACACACCTTTTATGCCGTAGTATTGGTTTATACTTGATCAAACGATCTTTTCAAACCAAGGCATTGTGCACAGATTGTGCTCTGGGCTTGTTTTGCTTAATAAAACTTTATTTTAAAGACTGGAAACAGCAAAGAACAGAGGAAGATCAGAAGTTCCCGTTTAACACCCTCCTCAGCAACTCCAACTCCAGAAGTGAGAGCCAGGTGGCAAAGTATCTCTTTTGTAAAACAATATGAAGGAAGTAAAAGCAAAGGACAGTGCTGACCCTAAGTAAGGTGGACAGGAAGGGTTAGGATATGCTCCTATAAGCATTAACTTCAAGAGTCGGATGTGCATATTTGTGTTGCTGGTGTCCCTGTCTCCATTGAGGTGTGCTACTGAGGAAGTGTGCCTTTTGAAAGACACTGTCAATATTTTAGTATGTTGAAAATTACTTTTCTTTTTTAAAAATTATTTTTATTATATGTATTATTATTACATAGCTTTTCCAGAGCCATATCATTCAGCAAATCCCTGTAGGAGGGCATCCAGTTTTCCTAGCAAAAGCTAGTTCCTTCATTATGCCTTACCAGGAATATTGGCATGCAGTCCACTCCATCTTCAAGGAATAAACAACCCCATGGGCAATGTTCGATATGATTCATTCTCTGTGTGGCTCTGACAGCATCAAAACCTGCCTAATGCAGCTGGATCTGAGACTGATGGGAGGACTGAAATAACGAGGCAAGCTCAGCACGTAGGAAAGCGGAGCCTGAACCACTGTGCACGGCGAGGGGGATGCTGGCTATGCAGCGCATGCTGTGCTCCCCTGACCGGGTCCAGGTAACAGGGATGCTCAGGCTTGCTGTTGCTTGGCAATGATCTGCGACAAGGGGCCATGTCATGTCAGGACATCACAGCTGGAAGCCTGTCTCAAAGGAGCTGGAGGAATCCTCCCCATCAGTTTTGTGCTGGACGTACAGGCATGCCACTTCTCCCTCCCCTTCCCTCCCTATGTGTAATGCCAAAAGGATCTGCAACGCTTGACATTGCCGTGCCATCAGGTGTAGCAGGAGAATCCACGCACTGGAGCAGGAGGGGCTCGGAGGCAGGGAATCCCTCCAATCTCCAGTTTTATGGGGGTTGAGCAGCACCAGCTTTCTCTTCCACACTGGTACAGACTGCAAGGCTGTTCTGGAGTTAACACTGCAGAATGACATATCTACTAACACCCTGTGAAGCAAGCACACAATGTCATGTCCTCACTTTCCGGACAAATCCTGTCTGACCCAATGAATTCAAACGTGTTGCAGGAGCTTTAACCTGGCCGAGAGTTAGGACTGCTTTCTTTTCTAAGGCAAAACAACAAAGACATTGCTGCTTCTACCTCCAGGTCAACAAGACTCCCACACAGAAGACAAAAATCAATTTGAGAAAACAAAATGAGCCGGATTCCGTGAGCTTTGGGTCCGGGAGATACGGCAAGTGCCAAACAACAGAATTATGGGAGAGTCTCTCCCCCTGCAACTGCATGTCCTGGAAGCCACCCATTTGGGAAAACATGGTCATGGTTGCCCCAACAATCTTCAATCAAGAGAGAAAGTCCTTTTGGGTTGGAGTCTCACTTTGAACAGGATTAGGCTCACTTCTTCAGGAGTCAGTTCCAAGCACACTGTGGGTACTCTTGGGAAGGGAAGCTGCTATTTCCTCTGCAGCGTTTACACCGTAAGCTACATTAACACCCGGGGGTCACCGGTGGGGGAACAGCCACGGCATACTGCAGCTCCTCTGCTCATGGTGGAAGTGTGCCTTGGATCCAGGTCTCCTGCAGCTCAGCACGGAGTGAAGCCAGCTGCTGTTAGTGTCCGGGCCTCATCTCAGACACCAGTTGAAAGAACTTGATCGACCATTGGATCAGTGGGTTTGCACCATTTCTGCAGCAAGGAAAGATACCAGCATTATCTGTCAGCTGAGAGAGAGCAGTCCAAAAATCAAGTCTTCTCAGAGTAAACTCTGTAAGTGTGAAACTCCCTTGAGGGAAGGCAGCATTTGCCAAAATTTTTAGCATTTTTGTCTAAATGTCCTTCATCTAGGACTAGAGCACAGATAATAAGTTTTTACAACATTTTGGATGGCTACATCTTTTGGCAAAAATATTCTTTTTGCTTTGCTCATCTAAACTTGCAGAACTCTTAATTTAGTGAGTGACAAGTAACAAGTTAGTGGCTGTGACAACATTGATTTTAATCATAAAACTAGAGAGGAAGAGAAATAGAGTGAATCGCAGAGAACAGTTAATACAGATGTGTGAGGTATGCTCACTATGATTAGCTTTAGTTGTATACGGTCCTGTAGTTATTTGAAAATTGTCCAGAAATATGTTCTCACAAGGCCAAAATGAATGCAAAAAATGCTGTTGTGATCTTTTATTGAATCAATGAAATTTAGATTAGGCAGTCACTAAATTCCTATTTACACAACAGACCTTAATGGCTCCAAAGGAAGCACTCAAATGTATTCGACAAATAATCCCTATTTATGAAAGCCCCATAATATGCATTTACATAATCCCCACTTTAAAAAGCTATATCAGCTCTAAAGTTCTTCAGCTCAGAGATATGCCCCAGGGGATTAAAAGTACCAAACAAAACAAAGAGAAGTAAAATGTACACATGCACACACATCCACAGACACGAATCACAATCTTTAAGATTAGCACACACAGAAGGAAGTAGGAATGACATACTAGCTTTCCTCACCCCCCCTCCTCCACCTCCAACAGTGTTTGTGCATGTGCACAAGCATGAACACAGGCAGAACTCTACAAGTGGCTCAGCGTGACTTTGAGCACGTGCATGATACTGTAGTGTCCCTGTGCATCAAGTCCCTCTCAGCCTTCCTACCCTTTATTCACAAATGTAATATTGGTTAATCATGTATACCCATTTCCATAATGAAACAAATAGTCTGTACTAATGTTTCGGGATGTATGTAGCAGCTTTAGAAAGCAGCTGACTTGGCATGAAGCCAGTGGGTCATGCGTTTTATTCATACTCAAGACGACTGGACACT